ACAGGGCTGGCTGCTCTGACCAGGGCAAGCAGGGGCAGAGGTTTGTTTCATCACCCCAGAGCAGAGCAGGCAGGGCCTGTGTCCTGAGTGCTCTGAATTATCCACCTTCAAATGCTCCCCGGGCCCAGGGAAGCAGGTAACTCCTGAGCACTGTGCGGGACTTCTGCAACTGGACTCTGCGGGGAACTGAAGTGCCTCACTGCCTTTTTGCTTCTGATTCCTGTGTGGAGGTGCCACCTTCTCCCAGGGCGTCAGAGCACTGAGCAGAGACTGTCCTACAAGGTTCAAGCATGGGAATTTGGGAAGGGGGCTGGGTGAGGCAGGATATAGAGTTATTGCCTCAATGTCCTCCTGTGTCCCCCTAACATTTTCCTCAAAATGTTCATTGTGGGGCCAGTGAGATGGTTCAGCCAGTACAAGCGCTTGCTGTGCAGGCCTGATGATCTGAATTCAGTCTTCAGAATGTACAGTGGAAGGAGAGAACTGACACCTGGAGGCCATCCTCTGACGTCTGTATATGTACGCTGACATGTGTGGAGACACACACATGCTGGCGGGGGGAGGCAGGCACACTAACTACAAAAAAAAATTAAATTAAAAGGCTCCTTACATGGGTTGAGGGTGCTGGAGCATGAGGCCCTGGATTCCATCTCCATTACCAAAAAAGAAGAAAAAGAATACGAGGAATACGAGGAATACGAGGAAATTGTTCCTGAGGTCGGATGTGCACTGAAGGGGAGAGGTCAGGCCTACGAAGAGCTGAAGACTCTGTTGGTTTTGTCTTAGTTTCTTCTTTATTGCTGTGACAAAACACGATGGCTGGGGCAACTTATAGAAGAAACAGTTTGTCGGGGACTTACAGTTTCAGAGGATTAGCATGTGCCGATCACATCAGGGAACATGATAGCAGACAGGTAAGCATGGGGCTGAGCAACAGCTGAGAACGTGCATTCTGAGGCAATAGCCACGAGGCAGAGGGAGCTAAACGGGGTTGGTGTAGGATTTTGGAACCCTTAAAGTTCACCTTCAGTGACACACCTCCTCCAACAAAACCACACCCAAAAAACCTTCCCCAAACAGTCCCACCAACAGGGGACTAAGTATTCAAACATGCGCCTCTGGGGGCCGCTCTCATTCTCATTCAAACCACCACAGCTCTCTGAGTTCACGCTAAGGCAACACCCTTGAGTGGCAGCTCTTCTTCAGGCACCCATTCTAGTTCCCCCATCCCTTTTCTTTTCCGCCCCTTCCTCCTCCTCTTCCTCCTTGTCTGCATCTCAGGCGGCGGATTACCTGGAACTTCTGATCTTCCTGCCTTGACCACCAAGTGCTGGGATTAGAGGGGTACTCCACCACACTTGGTTTTATGTGCTGCCGGGGCTTTAACCCAGGCTTTTCTGTATGCTTAGCTTTAACATCAACAAGTGAGCTATCTTCCAGCTTTTTTATTAAGGCAATGTCTCACTGTGTTCCCCAACTGGAACACAACTAACTCTGGGCACAAGTGATTCCTGTCTCAATCTCCCATGTTTTGGGGACTGTAGGCATGTACCCTCCATGTCTGGCTCTCCTTCATTTTTTTTTTTTTTAATGTATATGGGTGTTTTGCCTGCATCTATGTCTATGTACTACCTGTGTGCCTGATGCTTGCAGAGGCCAAAAGAGGGCATCAGATACCCTGGAGGCTGGAGTTAGAGTTGTGAGCCAGCATGTGGGTGCTGGGAACTGAACCCATGTCCTCTGGAAGAGCAGCCAGTGCCCTTAACCACTGAGTCATACTTCCAGCTCCTCTCCTTCATTTTTGCCTCTGTAATTATTTAAACTTTTCCTTCTCTCCCAGAATGCCTTGCTTCTCCACTCCTTTGTCTTTGCCAATGAAACCTTAGTTTCCTTTCCAGGCCTAGGTTCAAATGCTACTTCCTTTAGAAGGTGTGCAGGCTAGTTTATGCCAACTTAACTCAAGCAAGAATTATCTGAAAGAAGGGAGTGTCAGTTGAGACAGTGCTTCCAAAAGATCTGGCTGTCAGGTATTTTCTTAATTAGTGATTGATGGGGAGGGCCCAGCCCTTTGTGGGTGTGGCCATCATGGACTGGGGGCTCTGCAGTCTCTAAGGAAGCAGGCTGTACGCTGAGTATGACCTCTACATCAGTTCTTGCCTGCAGGTTCCTGCTCTGTCTGAGTTCCTGTCCTGGCTTCCTTTGGTGATGGGCTACGGCGTGGAAGTGTGAGCCAAATAAGTCCTTTCCTCCTCAGCTTGCTTTTGGCCACGGTGTTTCATCGCAGCAATAAAAACCTTAACTAGGACAGAAGGCATTTGTTAATTAGCTCAGTCGGAAATGGTGACCACCTGACCCCTGACATACTGTCCAGGGTACTCTCTGGTCCCACCAAGCCTTGTCTGGCCTCTGAGATTCCCACGAATGTTTTAACCACCACTAATATACTAGGCAAAGAAACCCTGTGCTTAAAAATTTATTATTTTAATTTTATGTGTATCGATGCTGGGCACCAAACTCAGGTCCTCTGGAAAAGCAGTACACCCTCTTTTTTTTTATTCAGGGGAGGGTTTCAAGACAGGGTTTCTCTGTGTAGCCCTGGCTGTCCTGGACTCTTTGTAGACCAGGCTGTCCTTGAACTCAGAGATCCACATGCCTCTGCCTCCCTGAGTGCTGGGATCACAGGTGTGTGTCACCACACCTGTTGAGCAGTATACACTTTTAACATCTAAGCCATCTCTTCAGCCCGAAATATCTATCATCTTAGTATTATTTACATACGCCTTTGCAAATAAGACTTTTGCATGAGTCCAGGGGGCTCACGTCATATTCAAAGCATAGCACAGGAGATGAAAGATAGGACCTTACTAGGTAGCAGGTAAGAAACTGGGGAAGTGGGAGAATAAAAATAAAATAGCTGCACATACACCTCAGTAATAGAGTGCTTACCTACTTAGCATGCATGAAATATTGCTACCAACCCTGGTAACACAGAGAGACAGACAGACAGACACACACACACACACACACACACACACACACACACAATCCATCTGGAATACGGACCCTGACAGCCTCAGGTGCTTTTTCTATGGTAAAGGCCCCCAAAATGAAGCCTTGCAGGCCCCAGCAGAACCAGTGAGTCCTGCATTCTTTGGGGCACTGTGGTCCGCTCAGCACAGTGGGATCCAGACACACAGCCTTACAGAGGGTCTCCTAGGCTCAGTCCTCCCACTCTCGATCACATTATCTGCAGACCCCCTCAGAACGGGTCCTTGGATGGGCAGGAGTCCAGAACGAGGTTCTGTCAACTTCATTCATTACTGAGCTGAAAAGCAGGTTTCCCGTGAGCCTGGTTAGAGGCCTTTGAGAGATGAGGGCATTAAGTCAACTCTGGGGGCTTCCAGCTTCAGCCTGGAGTGCTCTAGGCAAGCAGGTCAGCGCTGCCAGCAACCTGAACCTTCTTCCACACATTCCCAGGGTTCCTACCCCACGGAGAGCCCAAACGGGCTGCCTCCAGAGGCTGTCTTCTTCCGTGAGGCGGCACTGCACTTCCATACTCCAAAACCAAATTGCCTTGCAAATTTGGGACAGGTCTAGGAGAAGGACCCCAGCCACATACTGAAATTCCCTTAGTGGGCTGGATCTTTTCTAGGTTTCTCTTCTATTTCCATGTTGGAACTTGATTGGGTGAAAAGGAGTGCAGCACAGGACGCTGGCTGCTTAGCAGGGGAGGCTGTGCATTGGGGAGTTTTCAGTTAGGGCTCTGTATGAGCTGTTAGGAGAATAATTAGAGCAGCAGTTGCCCTGCCCCAAATCTGTTTTTAGGTTCCCCTGGAGTCATTTCAGAGGATGTGGCCACACGTCAACCATCCAGCCCAGAGAGTTTATTTCTAGTTGGTGGAATCCGGCTAGCTAGGTCTCTATACTACTTCATTCTAGGCTCTTCGGAGCCAAGAACCGGTCATTGATTTGGACCATTTGAACAACATGCTGGGGTTTGCTGAGAAGAGAGCTTCACCATCTAGGAGGCGATGGCCTTGAATGGTCTTAACTTTCTTTTAAAGCCTTTATTTTATGTACATGGGCGTTTTGCCTGCTCCTTAGTCTGGACGCCACATGTGCCTGGTGCCCCTGGAGGCCAGAACAGGGAACTGGATCCTTCGGAACTGGGGTGACAGATGTGGGTGCTGGGAATGAAATCTGGCTCCTCTGGAAGAGCAGCCAGTGTTGTTAGCTGCTCAACCATCTCTCAGGGCCCTAAATGGTTTAAAGAGCAGTAAGGAACTAGACACAGAAGCAGGCCTCCTGGGCTCGGTTAGGGAAAGCCCCTTAGAAGCAGTTTAATACCACAGTGTAAGTAGGAGATCTCAGGCAGAGTGGAGGAAGCGGTATTTTCATCTGTTTTCCTGAAACCGGTCTGATTATGTCACTCAGGCTGGCCTTGTGCTTGCTGTGGTCTTCCTCTTTCAGTCTTTCACGTGCAGGAATAACGGTCATGTTCCACCATGCCAGGATAAGGAAAGAGCAGCTGCTTTAACTGTTTTTAAAGATTATTGCGTGTGTGTGTGTGTGTGTGTGTGTGTGTGTGTGTGTGTGTGTACACCACTGTGTGCCTGGTGCCACAGATGCCAGAAGAGGACATCGGATCCCCTGGATCAGATATTTTTGAACTGCCATGTGGGTGCTGGGAACTGAACCCCGGTCCTTTGCAAGAGCAGTAAGTGCTCCTAACTACTGAGCCGACTCTACAGCCCTGAGGGCAGATCATTTTAACCAGCTTTATCAACCTGTGCAAAAAAATACAAAGGCAAGCAACAGCAGGAAGGAACAGCAGGGATATGCTAGGTGATCCAAAGGACTGTGCAGGACGGGCCACAGGGCCTAACAGGCTATGAAAATAATAATGAGGGGTAGGGGTAGCTCAATGGAAGAACGCCTGCTTAGCATGCCCAAGACCCAGGGCTTGGTCCCTAATTTGGAAAGAGAGACAGAGCGAGCACACAAGAATAATGTACCTTTATTCAGATAATGTGACAAGAGTGCCTTATGGCATGTGAGCATTGTCTTACAGCATGCTGTCTGTGGCTTTGGGATGCAGGGAGACTTCCATCAGGGCTTCAGCTCCATGACATCAGCTCCGAATGAGCGTGGGCCTGCTCAAACCAACAGACCCTTTACAGCTTTCACTGACTGTTGCTTCCTGTCCCACTCTCTCTCACTTTCCCTCCATTAGAATGAGTCACGTGTGTTGGTCTCTCATGTCAGCATCAGATTATGTGTGTGCGATTGCACTGAGCAGCCTAGAACAGGGCACGGAGACAAAATTCAGAGTCATGACATTCTATGACAAGAAGCTGAAGCACGTTATGTGAGAGGTGCATAGCCCAGGACAGTTCCTCAGCAGAGAGCATGGCTGGGCTGAGGAGTCTGGGGTGGTCCTGTGGTTTCTCGGTGATCATCTTTGCATGCGCTCCTGAGGGCCTGCCAGCTCAGCTGAGTCTCCCTTCCAGAAGGTGACCCACAGGGGTTGACTGGTTGCAGATGTGTATGCTCTGCTTTAGGCAGGGACAACCTTGAGTGCTAGCACACTTTGTAGAACCTCCTGCTCAACCCCCAAGTCTATAAAGATGATGTTGGGCCAAAAAGATGGTGTACCCAATGGGTAAAAGAGCTTGCTGGCCAGCCTGAGTTGGATTTCCAGGACCCATGTGGAGGAAGGAAAGGAACAAGAACTCACTGTAAATTGACCTCTGACCCATTTGTGTTTGGCTAAGAAAGACACCAAAGATTGCATTATGGGAGAAAAATGGGTTTTGGAGTTTGCCAAGGAGCCATCCTCATTCTGATAACCATGGAGTGCCATCAACACTATTAACATTAGGGACAGATGTTCTTTTGGCATTGCTGGCTTCTGCTCATTGAATACCTCAATACCTCACGTTCTATAAACATTTTCTGGAGCCAGTGTGGTGACACACAGCTTTGATCCCAGCACACTAGAGGCAGAGACAGGTGGACCTCTGTGAGTTCGAGGCCAGCCTGGCTGACAAAGTGAGTTCCAGGACAGCCAGGGCTACAGAGAGAAACTCTGTCTTGAAAAACCAAGGAACACAGCAGCAGCAACTAAGACCTCTTTGGTACAACAGTGGCAGCTGCTCCTTTCTCAGTTAAGAACCACTGTCTTGTGATGAGAAGACAAGGTGATGTTCAGCTGTGTCTGAAGCCCCTATAGCCGGCAAGCAGGGAGATATGGAAATCTCATTTACAATGTTACTGGAGGGCTAGAGAGGTGGCTCAGAGGTTAAGAACACTGGTTGTTCTTCCAAAGGTCCTGAGTTCTACTCTTGTTCTTCCTGGCTTTCTCAGACTCTCTGCTCACAGTGCAGCCCTATATACAGTCTGGTGTGAGAAGATGAGATTTCAGTCCAGGTCCTTGGAGGCTGCCTATCTAGAACACTTAGTGCTGCTGAGGTGCCACCCTGTTTGGCCACCAGATGGCACCTGAGAGTTCCTGTTCTCTGCCGCAGGACCAGTGGTAACTGCAGAGAAGTTGCCTTAAAGGAGGCCTGATGCTTAAAGAGACACCGCCACATCCCCTTGGGCTGGACCCTTAAATCTATAGAATGAGACTCTACCATGGCAAGCAAAACCCTGTCCAGGTCAGTGGCTTCTTTGCCTTCCTGGATTTTGATGCCATTTTCTTGACAGCTCTCAGTCCCGGCAACTGCTCCTGAGCCTGAGGGGACGGCCAGTGGGGAGGGTGGCGTCAGAGCTCCTGGCAGAGCAGCGTAGGAGCTGGGATGCATCCGCAGAACTCTGGCTGACAGAGCAGAACACACAGCCAGCTTCGGGGCAGCAATGACCACAGGAGGGCGAGGGCTGGCCTGTGAGCTCTGACCTCTGCTGGACCACCTCTGCTGCCCTGGAGCTGAGGAGACTGGCGCCTTTGAATTTGATCTCTGGGTTTCTTTTGGGATTCTGAGAATCTTTCAGTCTTCTTCAGCTGACGTCCTTCCAAATGCTGATGGGGACTCAGAGGTAAGTAAGTGGGGGAGGGCTCTCTAGACTCCACTGTGGAGTTCCCTCATTGACTGTAGGAAAATTCTCATGTTCACCCCTGAGTGGCAAGGACTGAAAATTGTTAGACAAGGCTCACTTTAGCTGGAGCTTGGGGAGGGACACTCCTCAATTTGCTTTTGATTAGCCTCATCTAGGCCAGCTGCTCTGCCCTGATGCTAACTGTTTCTGGTGCCTGACTGTGGGGTTAGCCTGGGAAATGTGTGTGGTGTGCCCTGCTGCCTGTCCTTCGGTATTGTCCTGGTAGTGATATGAGGAAGGCATCAAGAGTGTGACTGTCCTTATCTGGGGATCAGCCTACATCTTGTCAGGGTACAGATCTTTCCCATGACTCAAGCTGACATAAAACTTCCACAGGGAAACGAGGTAGGTGGGGCTTCTGTTGTCTGTAGATCTCACTGTCTTCTGGAAAAGCCAAGAGGCTGGAAAGGGCAGGTAGGAAGAGAGCAAAGGAGAGAGTCTTGGGCCAACCAGTCTCCTTGAGAGGCAATTCATGGGATGCCTGGCCTGGGAAATTTTCTTCTTAAATTATTTTAATTTTATATTTATTCATTTATTGTGTGTGTGTATGTGCGCGCACGCGTGCGTGTGCACATGAGTGCCACAGAACATATGTAGAGGTCAGGAGAGATCAAAGGACCAATTGTGGGGAGTCTGCTGTCTGCTGTGTGAGTCCTGAGGATGAAACTCGGGTTCTCAGGCTTGGTAGTAAGCACTGTATGCATTGAGCCACTTCCATGGCTCTGGGAATTTTCTTCAGACCTAAGGACTGAAGATGAATTTCGAGAACAGCAAATGCTGTTTTCTCTACCAAGGAAAAGAAAATGAAATAGGGAGTAAAAACAGGCTACCTGCCAGGTTTGTAACACATACCTTTTATCCCAACACTTCTCTGTTAATTTGAGACCAGCCTGGTCTACATAGTGAGTTCTAGACTAGCCAGGGCTACGCAGTGAGACTCTAGCTTAAAATACAAACAAAAACCAAACCATAAGCCAGGCATGCCAGCACATGCCTTTAATCCCAGCCCTCAGGGAGGCAAAGGCAGGCAGATTGCTGTGAGTTTGTTGTGGCCAGCCTGGTGCAAAGCGAGTGCAGGGCAGTCAAGGCTACACAGAGAAATCTTGTCTCAATAAAACCATCCAAACAAACAAAACAAACCACGCACATACACATACACATACACACAATAAACAAACAACAGGCTACCCCAGGATGTTCCAGAAAGCTAACTTCAGTCTTTCAGGGCTAATAATATACCTGGAGCTCATCTTCCTGATCTACCCGGGAGCACCTGTGAAAACTAAGGCTGGAAAAGCCTGAGCCTGGCCTTAGGCGTATAAGCGGAGGTTTGGGGACCTGGCCTAGCAGAGTGTTACTGGATTTCTTTCCCGCTCATCTGCAGGGTCATCTGACCTGTTGTAGTAGATGTGGTTTTCTTTGGGAAAGAGTTTTCTTTTTACTTACTTACTGGCAGCCCTTGGGAGTTCTGAAATGACACCATTTTGCCTTCTCGTGTAACTCCAATTACTCCTTCCCTGGGCTTAACTCTTCTGTCCATTCGTTTGTTCATAAGCCAGTATAGCACTACCCAGGTGGACTCTGGGTTCAGACTTGACACTTTTCAGACCATCAGCTGGCTGGCTTGTGGCTTAGCCTTCCTGTGCCTCCATTTCTTTGTCTATGAAGCGGAGCTAATAGTAGCACCTATTTCACTTGCTCAGTGTGAGGATTAGGCCAGAAGCAGCTTGTACAGCACACAGAACAACACTGATCAGTGTTAGCTGTTAGTAATTTTGATGACTAATATGCACTTTAAACTCTTTATTTTTATCTTACATGTGTAAGTCTTTTGCCTGCATCTATGTCTGTGCATTGCATATGTGTCTAATGCCTGCAGAGGCCAGAAGAGGGTGTCAGAGCCCCTGGAACTGAAGTTACAGATGGTTTGAATTGGCATGTGGATGCTAGAAATCAAACATGGGTCCTCTGGAAAAGCAGCCATCTCTCCAGCCCATCATAAGCATTTTTATTAATTTATTTTCTAATATATTATATCCTGACTGTGGTTTCCTCTCCCTCCTCAGCCTTTTTTTTTGGGGGGGGGGGCAGGATTTGAATTTTTGCCTCGGCCTTCAAAGTATCTGGAATCACGGGCGTACATACACCTGGTTTAACATGAATGTGTGAATTTTTTGCTTTTGGAAAAAACCTGGTGTGTGTGAGCTCACATTATATACTCTACATATACTCTGATGCATTCCCGCTTGGCCCCAGCTATAGAGACACTTTGTTTTTGGCTCCCAGTGACCACTGGGTGATCTCGCAGACTTCTGGGCCCTGCCTGTGGTGCACAGTGAAGCTGTGTTGCTAACATGAGAAGGAAAGACGCATGGAGATGCAGAAGCAGCATCACCACTTCCGCATCCTGGCCAAGAGGTTGGTGGCTGCTGGTCTTCAGAATGGGTGCGTCTCTTCTCCACTCAGCCCTGCAATACCAGCACAACACTCAGAGCTGTGCAACTAAGCTTAAATCCTACGACGAGGCCAGAACAGGCAGGTAACCATGGAGATGGGGGAAGGAGAAACAGGTTAGGGATACAGATCGTGTTGGCTTTAGGACTGGATAGGACTAGGGGCGGAAGTGTACTGAATGCTGACTCAGTGCCTTGGAAACACCACATATCGGTACACCCCGGCACTTAGCCGGATAAGGGAGGTCTGTCCACAGTGATACCTCCCTGCTGCTCTGACAGATCAGGGCTAATAGCTCCGGACAAGAGCACTTCAGGATAGCAGGCCTTGGGCAAACTACAGAGGAGGATGCCTCTTTTAACTCCTTAGTTTCCAGAGTGTGTGTTGAGTTAGTATTTCTCCCAGCCTTTCTCTGCCCTAAGTGCCCTTTGATCTAACTGGAGACATTTGTTAGTTTCAAGATCCCCAGATGCTTTAAGTCCCACCCACTTATCCCTGTGAACAAGGAGAGGATCAGGCTGTGTGATGAAAATTCTTAAAGCAACCACCCTTTCCCAAGACAGTAGGTCAGAAGTGGTGTGTGGCAAAACTACCCGCCCACGATACAACAAAGTACGGATACCATCAAAATCCAACTTTGTGATCCAGTAAGTTAATTGGGGTTACTTACAGGAGCAGAAATGACCGAAAGACAGCTGCATCACCAAGGCCCAGCCCATCAGGATTGACTGCTCACAAGGCTGGGAACTTGGAGCACACTGCACAGCCTTCAAGTAGCTCAAAATGTTGGGAGCATCCTTTCCAACTGTCTCTGGTCTAAACCTCTTCTAGGCAGTTGCTGTGTGCTTCTGGCTGGGCTGGTCCGAGTCTTCTTTGCAGCTCAGCTTCCTTCCATCTGAGGGAACTCTCAGCTCTTGCTGTTGACTCTGGCACGGTGAGGTCTGGCGAAGCTGGTCAGTTTCTGGGACTTCCTAAAACTGCTTTAAAGTTGTTTACTTTCCTGCTTAAGGAGCTTCCCAGCAGAATGGAATGTTTCAGTCGTAGATGAAACCATCACACAACAGGTGGGCAGATGGTTATGGAACAAAAGTGTCAGGGCTTCCTGGCAGATGGCCTTGCTCTCGTGGACCAGCGAAGGTTTTTCAATGCCTTGGATTACCAGTGATGGTAAGGAGGCATGCAGAGGACCCCACGCACACTAACTATATGGTTGGGTTCCTGAGCTGTGCCTCAGTTTTCTCATCTGAAAAATCAAGTTACAAAAGTAAGATAAGAGCTGTGCCTGGAAGCCCAGGCCTGTAGGCCTAGCTTTTCAAACCTCAAAGTGAGCCCCCAGTGACACACTCCTCTAATCCTTCCCAGACAGTTCCTCAGACCAGGCATCCAAGTATATGAGTCTGCAGGGGCTGTTCTCATTCAAACCACCACACTGTCTCAAAAGGTGAAAAAGAGATGGGGATAAAGCCCTGTGGGAAAGTGCATGAGTGTGGTCCTGGGTTCAGTTCCTAGTGCTGAAAAACAGAAAAGTGAGGGGAAAGGGGGAATCCGAAAGGAGGGAAACCGAAGTAACAGTGATGTTCATAGAGAAATTGCTCTTGTGGAAAACAACAACAACACTTTTAAGATCCAAGCCATAAACACCAAGTACTCAGTGTCTGGTATTAGCACTATGACCTGCAAGATTGTCTCTGTACCCTGCACTGTGATGGAAGGGGACAGTCCTGGGCAAGACTGGACACAGTGCAAACTAAAGCAAACTAACAACACTAAGCAGAGCAACTGCAACATTTTAGCTAGAAAAAAAAAGCTGAAAATAGCTTGCTCAAGCCTTTGTAGATAAAAATGTAAAATGTATGCAAATGTATGTGACTCACATAGAAACATATATCCATGGCCTCCTCACAGTCGGCTCTGGATGTGGAGACGTCGGGTTGGGGCCGGCAGGAAAATCCCTGTGGTATATTGAGGGGAAGGGTCAGAGCTGCAGCCCTCAAGGGTTTGTGTCTGATAGCACTTCCCAGGCATGTTTTCTCCTTCTCCTGGGGTTCTGTCTCTGCAAAAAGTGCAAGAGTAAGGAACGCCCTTGTCCTTTCTCTCTCTGCTTCCTCAGAGAGCCTGCCTGCTCCCTCTCCCGTCCCGGAACTCTATTTCTGGATAGTCTCGCTGGAGACGCACAGCCCCCTCCTTTGCCATGCTCCAGGTGTCGGCTTGGCCCTCCTAATCTTACATGCCAGTCAGGGACAGTGGGAGGGTAACAGCTGAGCAGGGCAGGGCTGCAAGCCACAGAACCAGAAGCTTGAGTCAGGACTGGGGTCATGAGAGCCAAATGGGTACAGGAAGGCCTCCATCTGCTGTAGCCCCTGTAGGAGCTCCCCCATCCATGAGCGTCTACCCTTGAACCCCCAGAGGCCTGGAGACTGTCCTGTACATTGATGGCTCTAGCTCTTCTTGGGCATCTGTGGAGGACACTGTCCACATAGACAGCTGGGCAGTTTGCAAGGCTGGGCACAGGTTTCCTTCTAGGTAAGGGTCTGCTTCTACTTCTCAAAGCTATCTGAGCTTGTTTGGAATGAGGAGGAGCTCTTGTGGATAAGGAACAACACTGCCCTCCACAGAGGGGCACTTAACTCTTTGTAGACCTCCGTATGGCTAGGGCCCAGGAAGGTTCTGCCTTAAGCTGTCTGAAGATAGGATGGATGGAAACTGCTCAGTTATTAGAAATGCCACGGGCTGGAGAGACGGCTCAGAGGTTAAGAACAATGGTGGTTCTCCCAAAGATCCTGAGTTCAAGTCCCAGCAACCACATGGTGGCTCATAACCATCTATAGTGAGACCTGGTGCCCTCTTCTGGTGTGTAGGCAGAATACTGTATAAATAAAAAATAAATAAACCTTTAAAAAAAATGCCACTATCCTTGTATATGAAAGGTCTAATCCAGGTCTTCCTTGGTGGGTTTGATTGCCTCTTCCCCTGGGAATTCAGGAAATAGACTTCAGCTCCTGGCTGTATGGCCCACCCTAGCCTGACTTCGCGCTGGGAAGGTTTCCATGGGTCCTGTGTTGTCGCTGACGCCACAAGCCTTCAGTGCTATTGAGGTCACTGTTTGGAATTTTGTTTAAGGCTGTTCTCTGAGGCATCTGACCCCCATTTTCCTCTAACTACTGCGTACTTATGCTTAAATAACAGGCCTCCTGCACTGAGGCGGTGGGCGGGGTCACCTGGAAGAACTGAGGGAGCCCAGGGCCTTCTGTACCCCAGTTGTCTCTCAGCCTGAAAGGGGCACTGAGAGGTGGTCCTTCCTCCTATGCCAGTGGTGGCCCCCGACTCCTCTCTGCCTTACCTCAGCTGCCCACCCGGGGTATGGGGCGGGAACTGATGTGCTATAAGGTCAAGGGTGTTTGAATAGATGGAGTGTTTTAAGGTTTGGTAGGAAAACAATCCCTGGGTGGCCCAGCCTTCCAGTGGGGCACAGGACGTTAACCTAGTCCACACCGCGCTGCCCATGCTTTGTCTAGGGGTGGGGCCTGCAACTGCACCACCCCCAAATCGTGCTTAGGGATCCTAGGGTGGCAGGTGATGTCACCCCTGCGGGGCCCATAGGTCTCCTTAGTGTGCGGATTGCTGGAATTTATGCTGAGCCCAACCGGGGAAGGAGGGGAGGCTCTGGCCCTGCGCCGATGCCTGGAGACCCCGCGGGAGCTCTGTGAGCCGCTCTCACACCCCACCGGCCCGCTGCGGCTGGGGGTGGGGGCGCCGAGGCTGCCGCGGATTGGCTGCCGCCTCCGCCCCCCGCCCCGGGCGCCGCGCAGCCCCGGGGAAGTTGCTAGTTGGCGCGCGGGCTGCGGGGCCGCGGCTCCCGATTCCGCAGCGGGTTCACGGCGGCCGCGCTCGGCTCCCGGGGGGCGCTTTCCTGCCCTGACCCGGGCAGCTCCGGCTTGCTCCTCCCTGCTACCTGTTTCCCCGGCTCTCCTGCCTCCACCCTGAGGTCCGCAACTTCGGCCTCCGAGTCTCGCCACCCCTCCCGGCACCCCGCCCGCCGGCGCCCTCCCTCCTTTGTTGTGCGATGAGGGTCGGGTTTCCCATCTGACCGTGGAGCCTCTGCCGCGCGGAGCGCAGAGCCGTGGGCATGGAGCCGCTCAGCCACCGGGGCCTGCCGCGCCTCTCCTGGATCGACACCCTCTACAGCAGTACGTGTGCGCTTGGGCTGCTGGGCTGGGGGCTGGGGAGGAAGAGCCTGCGCCCCCCGAGGAGCCCCGGCGCCCTCGGGGTCCCGGTGCACCCGGGCGCTTGGCGAGGGTCTGCGGGCATGGTCCGCCAGGTGTGCAGCCAGCCGGAGAAGGGGGAGCGGACTCCAGGGGGGCGGGGGGTCTTGGGTAGACCGCAGCCGGGGGAACTGTGTCACCCTCCCACCTGTTGTGTAACCCGGCGCTCCGGGAGTGGGAAGCGCCCTTCCCAGGCGCTACCTCCGCCTTCTGGATTGGCAGCTTCTCTCCCCACGTTGAAGCAGAAAGGCCATTTTGGGGAAAAAGAAAAAGTCTTCGCCTCTCTAGTTTACCACCTCAGGGACATTCCGGTGTGTGATTCGGCTTGATAACGGGATCCGGTTGGAAGAGAGACTGTAGGTACGGGTCTCCGCGGGGGCCATTTGGACGAAAGAGACAACCCCCAAGCTCCGCAGTCGTTCTTGCCAGCCTCATCACCACCCCCATTCCCATCACTGCCACCACCACCCCCAGAAAAGCAAATGAAAAGGGGGAAAAAAAACCCGCCAGTGCTCCACCCCCTCGCTCCCAAACCAGCCCCGATCATGTGATTGCTCTTGTACAGCCTGGGGGATGTGTAGTTGATCACTGGGAATTACTCAGATGGGAAGTACCCCCCCCCAGCCTTAGGTGGCAGTGCCCGCGTCGTCCTCCCCGCCTCCTCTTTAACTCATTGGCATTCTGTGGTGTAGGGAGATGGTCCTGCCGGCCTCCAAGGAAGACAGTAGATTTTGCTCTTTCCTATGGAAATACTGGGAACCCTCCCACTCTCTCTCTCAGCACACCCTAGCCCTGAGGCAGGCACAGCTAGGCAGTGACTCCGAACATTAGATACCGTGGAACAAGGACATTTTGAAGGGTCACCCTGGCTTGAGTTCCTTATTAACAGTCACATTTCAGGGGTGAGAGATGATGTCTTGAGCCTGGAGGTCTTGCCTTAGTGTCTCTGCATCCCCCAACACCCAGCCTCTGCCCTCTACATCCCTTTGGGGTCTGTCCCTGCCCTCTGTATCCCTTTAAGTCCTGTACTTCTCAGGGCTTCTTCCCAGCTCTTATCCCAGTTTCCTGCCCCTCCTCCTCCCAGGAACTCTCCTTGTGATGGTTTGTTCTGCTTTGGGCTTTCAGCATCAAAGAGGCAAATCTGGTTCCCCTGGGTGTCCATCCTGGCCAAACCCAGCCGGTCCATCTGCGCTTTTCCAGTAGAGGCCAGCATCGTTGGGTGAAGGTCAGGGCTCACAGCTGTGTGGCGTGTGTGTACACGTGTGTCTGTGCAAATGGGGACACACATCTGTTCAGAGGCCTGATGCAGATCAGCTTCAGACTCAGAGGACGGATTAGTGACCTCTGCTTAGCTCTTGCAAATAAGTCATAACAATGCCTCATATTCATCTGCTGCTTGTGCTCTTGGATATTTCTGGCTCTCTTGAAACCCACTCCTGCGCTCCTTATTTCCCAAAGCATAGAATCCTATGGAAAGCAATTTGTGGCTTTCTCTCTATTACTAAAGATAATTCTGTAACTTGATCATCCAAGTCCCCGTCCCCAGCCTGGGGTTGAGAAGCAAAATTGCCTTGAAAATTCCTGAGTGGAGGAATGTCAGAGTAGGGAATTAGGCCAAGGGTCTCTTTGGGGGTGTTCTAAGCCAATTCTTACTCTGACAGCCTGGCATCTGAGCTGTCTAACCCATTGTAAGGCCCTGTGGCAGCTGGAGGGTGAAGTGTTGGGTAGGGGCACTAACTTGGCATAGTGCATGGAGTCTCTGCCTCGATTTCCGGAACGGCTTATTTGGGAGTCTGTAGCAGAAGGCTTCCTGGGGAGGTTCTGTGCAGTCATATTTGGGCTGTTAGCCATCAAGTTTTCTTTTTGACAAGAAGCTGAGTTAAACAAATACCCAGGCTGTCATTTGCCTGGCGACATGGTTCTGTGGCTCTGGGGAAGTTCCTCTGGCTCTGTGGACACTGTTTGCTCACCAAGTCACAGGTCCCCACGAATGCTAGATCCAGGAACTCTGAGCGGGGTACACATGGCAGCCAGTGTGGATCCTGGAATATGTGAAACGATTCAGTGATAGAGGCTCAGTGTGAGCGACATTCCTGGGGTAGTGCTCGGCCTCTCCGGGTAATTCAGAGGGTGCCAGGCACTGTGCTAGGTACTTTCTACCTCTTACTTCCTAACTCCACAACCCCGGACTCTTAGAGACTAGGAAAGGGAGGTTGAGTAAATTTGTATCATTTACTCAAGGCCACATATCTGATGAAGGTCAGATCATGCCCTGGCCAATGAGGAGGGCTTGAGCGCCTCCCAGATATGACTGAGCGTACTGGAGGCCCTGTCCTGTTATGCAGTGGGAATACCTCTCTTCAGCCCTTCTTCCAGGAGTTTCCCTGACCTGATCCATCAGGGTAAATGGCTTTGGTAACTCTCACATCGTATTGTTCTGTGTCTCTGTGGGACCTTGGACCTGGCTTTGGAGTCCATGCCAGATCGGCTGAGCCTCCCTCTAAACCTAGTGCCTTTCTCCTCCTTCGGACTAACCACCAACCTCTTCCTCACAAACGACTTGTCATTGGAGTCGTTGAAACTCTCCTTTCTGGTTTCTACAGCTGTGTTGGTGGTCATCACACACACACCCTTGCAAAGGTGGTAGTGGCAAGTGCCCTCTGCTTGTAGTTGGAGTCCTGAATGGCTGCTCATGGAGGTTTGTTAGGCACAAGAAGAAGTGGTAGATCCCAGCTGCCAGTGTGATCTGGGACTGATAGAGGCGGGATTCTTGACCCTGGCAGCCGGAAGTGCCAGTGGAGGGTTGCCACCACCTCAGGTCCCTGCTTCTTTACTTCTCGTTTTCTGTATGGGTAGAATGATGCCACCCTCCCTCTTCAGTGCTTTGTCTTGATTCTTCCCCAGTGGCTGGTATGAGTTTCTCTGTGGGCTTGTTTTCTTTCTTATAATTCCTCCATCTTTTCATCAGTCACCCTTTCCACTGAGCACTTCCTACCCTCTCTGCTACACCATGGAGGGAGTCTGGACTAAATTAAGTTCTGTGAAATAACAAACACCAGGACACTCTGAGACTCTTCCTGTCCCTCCCAAGTTGAGACAGCCCTCCAAGGAGATCTGGACTGAGATCCACATATGTGCACCAGGCAGGCTCTTGCTTTAGCGCCTCTTCAGATAGGACATCTTTAAATGTGTCCTCTAGATTTATTTAGAAGGGAGGCACAGGGCTACATTTCAGGTTTCCTCTGCCATTTTAGTCTTCTTTATCCCAAGAAATTCCCAAACATATCTACTGGAGTATAAGCTGCCTATTCTTTTGGATTCCATAGAAGGCAGAACAAGACCCCTGCCTTATGGGATTAATGTCTTTACTCCAGTAGCATTCGAAGACTAGTCTGTTGTTGTGATCTTTTCATGCCCCTTATAGACTCAGCCTCTATGCCAGGGGCTGTAAGGCTCTGAACCAACTGCCAGATCATTCTAGTCCTGTGTTTGCTGTATCTTAGGGCCAAACCACTAGCACTGAGTTTAATCAGAGCAGGCCAGCCAGCCAGGCTCCATCAAACTGCCCCTGATGCCCCGGTGAACAGCTGCAGATAGGTGTTTCTTCTGCTGGGTAGTACGTTTTTCCTCCTCATCAGCACCGGTCCATAACTCTCATGGTGGTTGGAGTCTCAGAGGTAGGGCTGATGGAATAATTAAGTCATCTGTTCAATAAAACTTTTTTGTTGTGACCGTTGCTGTTGTTACTTGGGAAAAGGAAGGAATAGTGGAAACATTTGTGGAGGATTGGCTAGAAGATACCTCTGGGAGGCCGGTTAGATAGTGGGGAGAATGTTGAGCAGATCCATCCTGCCTTTGTCCTGGGGGCAGGACGGAATGCTGAGGCTGTTCTCTGAGGCTTGGCATGTGCCCTGGCATGATTCTGTACCTTCCTTGTGCCCACTCCACTCAGGGTTGTCATGTGGATCAGTTAGTTGATGTCTCTTAACATCTTTGAGGGTGAGGGACACTACTGGACTGTCTGGCCGTCCTGTCATCACAGTCTCGTTACTGAACAGGTTCTGTGAGCGCCTTCCGTCAGGGAAGACAGTGAGAGCCCTGATGGGGACAGAGTACTATGCAAACGTTCCGTGCAGTGATACCCACAGTTTTAAGGAGTACCCAGCTAGTAGCTCATGCATACGCCCTCAGTAGTTTTGGTGGTGTGAGTTTGAGAGGGAGGAGCATTTTTTCCCCTGTGTTTTGGCTCCTTTAACTCCCGACTCCACCAGAAATCCTAGAAACACTCTATCTGGCCCATTCATGAGTTCCCTGGCATGTGTGTTTGGTAATTGTAGTAGTGTGTAGTGAATCTGGAGACCCCCAGGGGAGTCCTGTGCTTTGCTAGGGCCTGTGACTGGAAGGCTTCTCCGCTGTGTTTGCCGCTGTGTTTGTGCTGCAGCTGTTCCACTCAGCTTGAACCTTTTAGGGAAAATCTGGAGCTAGGCTGCCAGTGGCTCCAGAACAGCTCTGATCCCCTTCCCTCAGGTGAGCCTTCGGCTGTGGTGAGCCAAGATTATTTGTGAGGATAATGCCCGTGTGTTCTTTCAGGCTCTTAGCACTTTCTCTGAGGGCTGCCTGCACCTGTGAGAGCACCAAGCAAGCCTGTCTGTCTTCAGAGTTGTCAAAAGGAAGACTGTCTCACGGATACCAGGCTGGTCTTGAACTCTTGATACCCCTCCCCCAACACTTGGTGTTACAGGCTTTATACAGTGCTGGAAAGCTAAACCAGAGTTTCATGCATATTACACAAGCACTCTGCTAAATAAGCTGTATCCTGAGCCCAGCTGGGTTGTTTCGCTGTGTGACTTAGCCTGCCTCAGCCTTACTTCTTAGGGTAAGATTTAGTCAGTTGGAGCTGTGAGGTCCCATGGTTGCTAACAGGAGTCTTATGTTGGTCTTGAAGCTTTAGATCCTCTAAGTGGAGAGGAAAACAAGGTCAGAGCAGTGGGCTGACTACACAGTACCCATATTGAAGCAGATGACAGACACTAGAGCCTATTCCTGTTACCTCCAAGGCATTTGGGAAGAGCCCTTTGAGCTGGTACCTCAAATGGTCCTATGGCTCTTTGTGGGTGGGCAGCCAGTTGTCTGGTCCCTAGATTCAGATCTGCTTTAGTCTCCCTCAGTTTTCTGTGTCTGTGTTTAATTGCTGTCTTCTCTTCTCTTTACTCCCCCACCACACAGCAGAACAAAAGATGAATCTGGCTTTAAGGGCTGTATAGAAAATGTCCAGGTCACCTGGCCTTTGGAGGTGAGGCCAAATGGGGCGGGTACTACAGTGACTTGGTCAGGTCCAGGCCTCTCTTCCTTGACTCTGACCTTACATGCCTTTATGTCCCTTTAGACCACATGACACGGAGATGTCATTTTGCCTAAAGTGAGCAAGGTCTGCAGGAGG